ACTTGTTTATCGGGACTATGATCTAAAATAATATGAGTATAGTGTAAATATTAAAGAATTTAAAAATTGTGCTTGAATTATATTTATATAATTATTTTGTTATATTTTATTAAACATTAAATTTGAATTAAAATCATTTATTTTTCAATTTCAATTTTAAATTTGAATTATATTTTAATTTCAATTTGGGATTAAAGAAAGCAAAAATAAACAATTCAAAAAAAAAAAATTTTTAATTTTTTTAAATATTTAAACGACAGATATAAATATTGAATTTTTCAAAAAATAACTTTAAAGAAAAAAAGTAAAATATTTACGAATCTTACAATCTGAAAATAATAAAATAAATATTATAAAAATGTAAAAAAGAAACTTCTATAAAAAAAAGTATATATTATATATGCCAAAATAATTCTCTTGGAAAACTATATTATAAAGGCATAATTTTCTTCAATTCTAATAATAGTATTGAAATGCTTTTATTAAAGCTATTTTTGATTTCATTTTGAGTACTACATAATGAAAATTCTATATAAAAAAGTTAAATATTAGTTATTTTCGACTATATATTTAATAATTTGCAATAACGTAAAAAAAAACTTACAGCAAGTTTTAGAAAGTCATTCTTAAGAGATTTCAATCTTCAAATTTGTTGTAAATTTAATCAGGAAAAAATTTTTCAATGTTTCCACAAACGATTGAATTTTTTAAATTTTCGAAAAAAAAATATCATATAATGATATAAATAATAAATAATATAAATAAATATTTTCCTATTTGATGTATAATGTAAAAACATCTTTGAAAAAGATGATTTCAAAACTATGAAAATAAAAGTTTCAAATAAATTAAATGATAATAAAATAAATGACAATAAAATAAATTAAATTAAATTCATTTAAAATGAATTTAGATTGATTGGTACATGATTTTTTTTTTATAAAGTTATAACAATTTAGAATATGAACAATTTTACTTATATTCTTTATAGTATTTGCTAATTCAAATGCACTATTATTTAATAATTTAATTACTAATATGTATGATAAATTTTACGAAAAATATATATAGTAGTATGCATATAGTATGAAAAAGATATATATTATGCATTATGCAAAATATCAAAATTAAAAAATACATTTTTAAAATTATTCAATGATAAAATACATCTTTGATAAAGTAAATCTTGTTTTTTTCTTTATTTTTAAATTTTTATTTTATTTCAATTTCAATAAAAGTATGCATTTATATAAATATTCACAATCTAATTATTACAATAATTACTTTATTACAAAAAGATACATCTCATCGATTTTAAGTATATGTTATATATGATATGTTAATATATTTGCATTATTTATCTATTATTTATAGAAATATATCGCAGGACAAATAGCTAATTACTACAATTAAACATATATAATGGATAAATTAAAGTTATTTCTTCATAGATTTGATGATCTTAAAATATATTAATTGTATCGAAAGAAATATTACGAGACATTCTAAGAAAATAATTACATTAATGTATTATTCATAGAGAATTTTGGTATTAAATATTTCGGATAAAAAAATAATAGAATCAAGATTCAAATCATAGAATATGATTATAATATACAATATCAAATATATTTTTGCGAAGCTAAAATTAAATGATGGTTGAATGAAAATAAATAACGTATAGAAGAAAAAAGTTTAATGTTGCAACAATATATTTTGAAATTATATCATATTAATCAATTATATAATATAATATAATATTTAATTATTTAAAAATATGATATATTCTTTTGTAATAAATTATTAACAAAATAATATTTATCAAAAAAATTTTTCTGAAGAAAAGAAAAAAACGAAATTATTCAAATCATTTGAATTATAGTTAATTCATACAATAATCCAAAAAATCAATCAAATTTTATTAGAGTGTCTATTGTGTAACCGAATAACAAGATAGGCAACATTTTCTAAAATGTGATCAAGGATAATTTATATTAGAAGATTTCGCATTCTCAAATAAAACGGGGCTGAATATAAGTGTTATCAACTACGAAGATTTTGCTCGGTACCGTTATCTCATTAGGCGAATTACCGAAGAGATTCAAATGTTTATCGATGACCAATCGAGCTAATGATAGTTCCATATTGATGGCTGCTTGGCAAACTGAGAACACTTGGAGTCGTGTGGGCGTTGGGGCACCTCAATTAACATTGGAATGGCATTGCCGTCGATTTCACGTGGGCGTTCGGTATCCGAAACACGTATCCTTTCCTTACGTTTCACTGTCGCTGCTGGTGCAAGTGGCTGCCTGATTTGTCCTCATGGTTTCGTTCCGAGTTCCTATGCTTCTATTCAATCCTGGCGTGGTTTGTTTCACACGCTTGACATTTTGCAATTCTTGTCACACATATGTACGTACGCATATGAGATGATTAGGAATTATTAAAATATTATTAAAATAGATATATAACCAAATAATTAATCTAATAAGATACTTCCATTTGTTCATTTCAAATAATATATTTAAAAGATAACTACTTTAAGATTCTTATTTTGATATTTCGGTATTTAATTTCATTAAAAAAATATAACTTTTTTCATTTTTTCAAATAAAATACAAAGAAATTTTGCAACATTTTTATTATTTTGTATTTGTTGTTATTTGTATCTTATATAAACTTTGTATAGCAAAATTTAATGAGACGTAATTTTTATTCGCTTGTTATAATATTTTTTGTAATGTTTTTTTTTTGTGTCGAAGTATTGAAAACTATATCTGCTTGTGATATATCTCTATATGATGTAATGTATATTATTATTATTATTATTATTATTATTATTATTATTATTATTATTATTATAAATCAATAATAAATTCTTTGTTTTCTCTGTTTATTATTAATTTTTGCATGATATAGAATAATTTAGAATCTATTGAATTTGATAAATTTTATTTATATTATAATAAATACTAATTGTTTTTCGAATGTATCTTCATCCAGTTTATAATTGCAAATGAATATGGTAAATTTATTATTATTATTCTTATTACTATTACTACTACTACTACTACTACTACTACTACTATTGTTGTTGTTGTTGTTAATAATTAATTAATTAATTAATTAGTAATAATAATAGTAATTACTTGCCAAATAAATAATTTTGATAATAATTCTTTTCGCAAACAAGACTTAAAAATTTATTTAAAAACATATTTTAATTAACTAATAATTCCTCAAAAAAAAGAGAATTATATAAATTATGAAAATAAATAGATAAATAAAAAATTATATAAATAAATAAATTATATAAATAATTCTCATTTATTTTTATTATTTTTTTTTATAATAATTTAATTTTTTTATTTTCGTTCTTATAATAAATATATATATTAAATATCTATGGAATTTTTTTTCATTCTATAAATTTATTTTATAATTAACTTATATAATTTTAATAACATTTATATTAATAAAAAAATGAATACATAATTAAGACTAATATATATTTTTTATTTTTCATCAACTTAAACGAAAAATAAAATTTCATTCATGTAAATGCAATATTCAATCTTCGTTTACATTTTATCTTATCTGTCATCCATGTATCTCTTATCTGCATAATGCGAATAAAATAAAAATATTTAATAAGTAGATACATTATTCTTCGTTGTCAACTTTAAACAAGTGTTGATACTGGTTACAAGGCGAATAATTGTAGGTTTTCATGGTCGATGAAGAAAGAAGCTGTTGCCTTTCGTTGCACTTCTTTATTAACAATGCTTGAAAAATAATTGGTCAATTTCGCATAATTTAACCTTAAATTTGTTTTGTCTTTCGTTAAATCATAATGTGATCTAGATTAAAAACTATTTTTTCAATTATAAAATATTTATATTCTTTCATATTTTCTTTATAAATGATTGTTATTTTAAGAATTAATTATTTTTTATTTATAGCAAAGATTATCTGCATTGATATCATATTAATATTATATTAATATAATTTTGATATTTTATTTAAAAAATATGAAATTTAAATTAATGTCCTTAATAATAAGAACATTAATAAAAATTAATTAATAAAATAACATTAAAAAAATTAATTAATAAAATAAATACATTATGAATGTTAAATGAAATTTTTCATAGTAATTATATATATGACAAATATATATAATATAAAAAATTTATTGAAATAGTTTATTGAATATATTATCATAATTAATTATATTATAATATAATATAAATATGATATAAATATTATATATTATATAT